GAGCTGCGGGGTGGGTTGGGGGCAGGGTGGGCTTCACGGGTGGCTAAGAGCCTGCTGAACCCTATGCTATGGTGGCCCCAGGTAAAGTGCTCTCGCTACTGGCCTGAGGACTCAGACATGTATGGGGACATTAAGATCACACTGGTAAAGACAGAGACACTGGCTGAGTATGTGGTGCGCACCTTTGCCCTGGAGCGGGTGAGTCTCCCCTATACCTGTTTCATGTAGAGCTTACGTTGCCTGAGCCTTGGAAACATAAGAGGAGAGGGAGGGGCAAGAAAGCCCTTCTAACTTGCTGGGAGCATGGCTGAGGGATGGGATGGTGGCTGTTCCCGCTGGACTCCAGTACGCATCTGACATGAAGATGTGATGACCGCCCTGCGTGGGACGCTATGCTGGGCCTCTTCACGCATTGTCTCAGCCCCAGGATGACATGTTTACCATCAGCCCCGTTTTGCAGATGAGAATAGTGAGGGGAAGAGGGTTTCCTCATGTATCAGGGTCTAGGTTCCCACTTAATTACTCTGTAAATCCTCGGAGGAGGGCTGGCAAGATGGCTCAGTAAGTAAAAATACTTGCTGTGCAAGCGCGACGACTCCTGCGTCATAGTGCTCTTCTGTTTACACAACAGCCCCGGGATAAGGTGGGTGTTGGACAGCATAGCTTTAAGCATCTGGTGGACTCAGTCCAAACACAGAGTGTGCAGCCTCAGCAGAGGGGATTGTCCACACTGGGCCTTCATTTCCTCCTCACCTGTACAATGGATGTGGATACTTACCTTACCGATGAGGAGTAAGCAAAGCCCGGCACACAGCAGGTGTCCAGTGGGTGCTGCTGGCAACTGACTGTCACCACTGTGGTTTCCACAGAGAGGCTACTCGACCCGGCATGAGGTCCGCCAGTTCCACTTCACAGCGTGGCCGGAGCATGGCGTCCCCTACCATGCCACGGGGCTGCTGGCCTTCATCAGGCGTGTGAAGGCTTCCACTCCACCTGATGCTGGGCCCATTGTCATCCACTGCAGGTGGGAGCCCGGGAGATCCCAAGGAGAGGGACCAAGGCTGGGGGAGCTGGACTGGAGTGGGGCAGGGTCTTGGGTCCTAAAGAGGACCGGACTTGGGTTCAGCCTGCTTGGAGACAGAGGATAAGAGAGAATGGTTCCCCAACGATCCTGTGAGCTTTGGCTCTGAGGTTGGCATCCCTGGAGCCCCCTTACCACAGCTGCAATCCTGGAGCCTGCAAGCCTACAGCTCCTGTGCTTATACTGGCTTCTCTGCAGGAATTCTCACTAACTGATTTCCCTTGCCCTATAGCCTCCTGTTAGTGTCTGTCTGTCTGTCTGTCTGTCTTTTTCTTCCTCTCTCTTCAGAGCTCATTAACATAGCATCTTCTAAGAATGAATTCCAACTGATACAAAAAGTCTGTCATGCAAAATGTAATTTATATCATGAACAGTGAGTGTGCCTGCAACTGATGGTTTACTAGCTGAACCGTGAGCTCAGTCTTATAGATCTGTTACTTATAGAGTAACTTACAGAGTAACAGAGCATGGGGGTGGGAGATGGAGGATGGAGGTGTTTGATCCCCAGCACCTGTGTAAAAGGCTGGGCATGGGGGCATCATCCTGTCATCCTGGCCTTGGGAGACAGAGACAGGAAAATCCCTGCCCCTCACTGGCCCAGCCAGCAGGTCCCAGGTTCCAGTGTGAGACCCTGGTCCAGAAGGAACAATGAATAGTGCTCCTAGGGAATGACACCTGATGCTGACCTCTGGCTTCTGACAAGTTTGTACACATGTAAAAGTATAAAGTATTAACATCCCACTGTATACACACACACACACATACACACACACACACACACACACACACACACACACACACACACACACAGAGCCAAGTTCTGGAATGTTCCCTATTCCCAGAGCAATCGCAATCTGACTTCTTCCCTGCAGGAACCCTTTCATGGGTTTGAACTTGGTGTGAATTAAGTCCCGCCAGTGTGAGTTCTCTGCTGTGTGACTTTCTACCCTCTCCTTTGTGTGTGAGGTCCATCCACACAGCACCACATTCCAGGGTGAACAAGCTCTGGCGTATCTGTCCACCTCCTGTTGCTCGGGATCCACTGGTTTTCACCAGAAATAGTGGTGCTAAAACAAAATGGCAGCCCTAAGGATGATCTGACACAGTGGTTGTCAACCTCCCAATGCTCCCACCCTTGAATACAGTTCCTCATGTTGTGATAATGTCCCCACACCATAAAATTATGTCATTGCTACTTTATAACTGTGATTTTGCTGCTGTTCTGAGTCATAATATAAATATCCGATATGCAGGATATCTGATATGTGACTCTGAAGGGCTCAAGACCCACAGGTTGAGAGCAGCTGTTCTAAGGTGTGGCTGGCTTCTTGAGAGGAAATGCACCCACATTGCTGTGGGCCATGTGTAGGGCAGAACTGCCATCTGTGAACAGTCAGCTCTAGTGGGTGCTGTCCAGGTGATTGGAGCCGTGCAGTCCTCGGTGATGCTTTGATGATGGCGGCTTCAAAGCCGGAACCCTGGGGCATCCTTCCCAACCTGCCTCCCCATCAACACTGCTCCTGTGGAGGCAGTGATGGATCCAGGTGGGGTTAGGGAGCTGGCCACATAAATAAGGACCATGTAGCCAGGGTTTGAGCAGAAGTTAGCCATATTGCTCTGAGAGTTTGCAAGAGGGCCGTGTGTCTGGAAGTGCTGGATGTTCCAACTGTGGATGAGGATGGGTGTGGATGGGTGTGGATGGGTGTGGATGGGTTTGGATGGGTGAGGATGGGTGTGGATGGGTGTGGATGGGT